AAGCATTTTTCGCCTGATCGGCTTAGAAATCTTCCCAAGGCCGCCAGACAACCTGTTAACTTCTGAACCTCTCGGACGGTACGAGGCGACTGCATGTCGATGACCGCCTGCACCTTCTCAGGGTTCGCCTCTATTCCTCTCTGATTGATAAGGAATCCGAGAAATTTCCCAGACTCAACTCTAAATACACATTTCTTGGGATTGAGCATGACATGGTGCCGCCTAAGTGTGGCGAAAGTTTCTCGGAGGTTCGACAGATGATCTATCTGAAGCTTAGACTTGACAATCATATCATCAATGTATGCCTCGACGTTTCTCTCAATCTGATCAAAGAACACAGTGTTTATCATTCGCTGGAAGGTGGCCGGGGCATTCTTAAGACCAAACGGCATGACCGTGTAACAGTATAACCCTTGATCAGTGACGAAGGCCGTCTTCTCCTGATCTTTCTTCCATAAAGGAATTTGATGGAAACCAGAGTAGGCGTCCATAAAGCTCATCAAAGCATGGCCGGCTGTTGAGTCAACCAGGTTATCAATTTTAGGCAGAGGGTAACTGTCTTTGGGGCACGCCTTGTTTAAGTCTGTTTAGTCTACACACATTCGCCAGGTGCCATTCGGCTTTTTAACAAGCACCACATTTGCAACCCATTCTGGGAAGTAACATTGCCGAATGAACCCTGCATCAAGTAATTTTTTAACTTCGGCGGCTGCCGCCTGACTTCTTTCTTCGCCATGGTTCCGCTTCTTCTGCCTTACCAGCTTCTTTTTCGGATCCACAACCAGTTTATGTACCGCCAGGTTAGGACTAATGCCTGGCATTTCGTGGACTTCGAATGCAAAGATGTCCTTGTATTCTTTCAATAGTTTGTGAAAGTCGTCACCCAGGACTCTCAGAGCAGTCGTCCCAACTTTGACTATTCGGTCAGGACGCGAGTCGTCTAAGATCAGGTCCGTATGCTCACCAGCCGGCTGAGGGCAGAATTCATCCGACCGCTCCTCTGCCAATGATTTCTATTTTCTGTCTTTTCTTGCGGCTCCCGTCTGGGCTGCCTTTCTCTTCTTGTCGCCTGCTTCTTGAACAGGCGCACTCTCCTTGACATTGTCAAGGTCTTTTTTTCCACCACTTGACCCAGCGGCCATAACAGTGGGCTTGATATCCGCGAGATAGCACTCTCGGGCCATCCTTTGATCTCCCCTTAGGGACCCGACTGTTCCATTATCCCTCTCAAACTTGAGCAACATAAGAGATGGGATTATAACAGCCTTGGAATTATTGTCGTCCCAGAATCATGTTGTAGGCCGAGAGTTCTTCTACTACCAGGAACCGGACTACCATGTGTCGTCCTTCCCCTTTTTCACCCAGGCGGATGGGTAAATCCACTCGTCCCACTGGGTGGACGACTCCTCCTCCAAACCCTACTAAAGGGTGGGATGCCGGATGTATGCACTCAGTCTGATATTTTAGTTTTGACAGACATTTGCTACTGATAAGATCTGAGGAGCTTCCGGTATCTATAAGGATTTGGCCAACTCTCTGGTTGGCCACTTTACATTCACTAACGATAGGGTCGTCATGCGGCCCCCTTACCCCTCCTAGATCTTCTTCAGTGATGTCAATCTCAGGAAATGAATATTTGGAGGGCCGTTCTTGGTGAACGGAATTTACGTCTAGCCGCCTGATATTGTCTTTGTTGCCCCTAATAGTGGGGCCGCCTCCTGAGAAGCCGCCTGCAATGGTGTAGACGACTGCATCATCTGTATCAGAGCTGTCGGCCTGTTGACTCTTTTTGGCCGACTGCTTTTTCGAGGAAGTGTTCCCCGCAGATTTCTTGATATAAGAGTCAAGATCGCCTTGCTCAGCCAGGCGGTCCAGATACCGCATGAGACTGATGCATTCGTTGGTGTGATGACCAACATCTTCATGATAATCACAGAATTTTTCTTGGTTCCGGTTGCTTGCAGAACCCTTCATGGGGACCTGCTTCTCAATTGAGATCCGTCCCTTGATTTCCTTTAGGATAGCTTGGCTATCCTTGTTAAACGCATACTTTGGGGAGTATGGTTTGAATTCTTTCTTCTTCTTCTGGGCCGGCTGTTTAGAGGAATCAGCTGCCTAGACCTCTTTTCTCTTCTTCTCATCTTTGTTCGACGACTGTTTCTGTCGTCCCTCTCTTTTGTCGAACCTTTTCCCGTCCGACTGTTTTCCTGTACTACAAAGATCAGTCGCCTGTATATAGGCTTCCGCTTCAACCAAGGCCTCTTAAAGAGTCGCCACCCTCTTTCGAACCAAATCAAATTTGAATGTTGATCCGTCTTTGAGGCCTCTAAAAAAGTCAGTATAGGCTACCTCCTCCGGTAACCCTTGAATATGTATTCTCATCAGGTTAAACCGCCTGATGTAAGAACGATGCCCTTCCTTTTAGCCCTGCTGAATCGTTCCTAAATCAAGGGTCGTCTTCTTCGCAGGTATGTTCATGGCAAAGTTGGAGGTGAATAAGTAAGCAAGCGTCCTGAAGTTATTCACACAACCAGTCGGCAGGTTGCCGAACCATTGTTGTGCGATTCCTTTGAGAGTCGCTGGAAAACACTTGCACCAAGTGGGATCATCCAACCCTTGAAGGTACATCAGGTTGGTGAATGCCATCAAATGGTCTTCTGGGTTAGTAGTGCCGTCATAGGCGCCTACTAATACATTTTTAACTTTGGTCGGCTGAGCGGCTTCAGCAATTTCCTTGGAGAAGGCCGACGGCTGTTCCCCAAGTCTAAGCAACCGTAGCTGCCAGTCCATAGGTTGGACATTCTTTGCTGCATGCCCACCAAACAGAGGTGGCTGCAAAAAATATTGTTGTTGCGGTACAAATGGTAAGTTTGGTACCGCCTGGTCACTATGAAAGCCGGACTGACGGGAGGTGCCGCCTGACTGACTCTCATGATGCGACTAAGTATACTTCATCGAGGTATTGCGTAGACTGTCTTGGAAGTTTGAAGTAGAGGCCGACTCTGACAATCGGTCATTCTTTTTCTGCTCTAGAAATAGCCGAGCATCTGTGTATGTTTTCTTCGACCCGTCCGCCTGAATATGACGAACAGGTTTCCTCTTTCCTGGAGTAGGAAATCGGTACTTTGTGAAATCAAGGGCAGACGGCTCCCACTTCCTAGAGTTAGGATGAGGGGTCGCCTCTCGCCCTTGAACTGGCTTCCTCTTCCCTGAAGTGGAAGGTTTCTTAGCCGACTGCTCCTTGGCCAGAGCAGGCTTCTTGTTGAGAAATTCTTGAATCTCTCCCTTGAAGCCCCTCATGAAGGTCATGAGTTCGTTTCTTGTAATGGGAGCAGACCCATCAGCCGGCTGCTGCTGAACAGGCGGTGCGCCGGCTGGATCACTGAGTCCAGTTTGAAGATGTTCCCGTTCCCTCCTTTCGGTATGACGGGTGCGTCGGGCCCTTAGGGTCCTGTTTGAAGCTGTGTGAGCTTCAACTTCAAATTCTTCCTCAGTATCATGGTCCGACTGAACTTGAGGGTCGTCTAGGGGACGCCTCTCTTCAGGAGTTGGTACAGACGTGGATGCCATCTCAGAAGTACTCTCCCCATAGACGGTGCCAAGATGTTTCGGGGTTTTCTGATGTCCTGCGGGAGAGTTACAATTCCGAGACTGGAACCGGACGCCTGTACCTGCAAAACAAACGGATGCTCCGGATGATTAGAGATCCGCCTCCGACGGTCAAGTTAGTACTTGATTAAGGAGTAATTAACGCGGAAATAAAAGTGATTGGGTCTCTCTAGGTGAGAGTATTAAATGTGCGTCCTCCCCCTTAATGAGGATTAAGGGAGGTATTTATAACCTTGGGAAACGTGTCAATCCTAGGTTTAGGTTAACCTAGGGCTGATTGGGCTTCCCTTGGAAGTTGGGCCTAGGTGGCCGGTTTTTCCATTAGGCATGGAGGATGCCACGTGTCATGACATAATAGGTTCAGGGTGGACAAATAGGCGTGTGCCACGTGGCAAACCCTGACAGTTCCAACTGGTGGACACTTGGCAGGACCTGATTGGCCCACGTGGCGCATTCCGATTGGTGGGAGCAAAATCCCCTAATCAGCGTCGATGCTGAAGTTGCAGGGGAAAGAGATTTCGGCGTTTTTTTGTTGGGGTTTTACGAGTTTAAGGGTTAGTGGGCTGGCTGGAAGATTTTCAGCGTCTTTTGCTTGGTGGTTTTGGCACGTGAGACTTTTGGTCCACCGAAGATGGATTGTTTTCATACACTATGATAACCTTACGAATCCTAAGTCTATAACGTTTAAATTTGGTATTTGTGGACATTGTGGTGGTTGAGGTGCCTATATAAATTGAAACCCATCCATCTTTGTCTGCTTGTTAAAAAATTTGCATTACCAGCTATAATACATGGCCTTGCATTATTATTATTTAGTATGATGATAGTTTTTATGACTATGTTCATTCATGTTTTACCCTTTTTCTTCTACAAATGGCATACTCGCTTAGTCGTTTTGAAGGTCAATAACAAGGCTAAAAGATTTATGTGCTTCAACCATATGCTTGTACTTTGTACTGGATTGTCTTGTTATTTTTAAAGATGTTTGTTGCTCCCCCTATTTCACCAAGCTAACCATTTACTATTTTGTGTTGAAAATATTGATGATTTTTTTAATAATGGAAAAAAAAAAAAATTATAGCAGATCAAAAACCATTATTCTTGTGTACTAACTTGTAACTACTAAGCCAATTTGTAAGGGGTGAGCCTTATTAAGAGAGGTATATAATATACGTTTTTTTTTTTAGTTGACACCATTTGACTTTTGTACTATTAATAACTAACTTATACTTTGACTTACTTTTGTGTTCTACAGCTACGATAAAACATAATCATGCAAGATCTTGTTTGAATCGTCCTAATGTATATTTTATTAATATCAACTTTGTATGATTTTACAATGTTTATAATAAGAGATATTAATCGTTAAAATTGTGCATTGACAAGCGTGATAATAGAATGTTGTCAACTAAAAAAACGGAAGTAGTATAAGTAAAATAGTTAGTGGTTAGAAATACACAATAACTATAAATAGAATAATGGAAGGAAATTTATTGATTTTTGATTTTTGATTTTTTTTTTTTTTTAATTTTGTCTTCATTGTCAGTGGCTTGTAGTAGTTAAGAAAAATGTGAAAGTTGTGTATAATTAGAAATATTTGAAGAGGTGGGGAAAAAGTACCTTATAACATTCCCGATTTACTAATGGAAACAAAATGAAGAATATATAATTCAAGATAATTTAATGGAAATAACAATAATTAATTCCTAAAAATAAGATACAACTATTTTTGATACAACTTAACTATTTCAAGTTAAATTAGCTAGCCATAAAGAAAATCATCACTTGTGAGTTGTGATTTTGTGAAGAGGGCATGCACAATTCTCCTTGCCTATCATAAAAGCAACACATGAAGGTTGGTTGCCTACATCTTTGAACCATTTTGAACGTTTCTCAACGAGTTCGTCAAGAAAAATATTGAGTTTTTCTCTTGTAACATTTGGCATCACAACTGCATGAGCTATATTTCCTTGGCAAGCCAGTTGCCAACGTTGCACAAACTCCTCATCTTGAGGACGCTCAAACACCACAGTGTTGCTTAGCTCATTGAGCATGACACTAACTCCAACCTCGCTAAGCCGATCTTTGAGGTAAAGAGCGTTGTCCAAGCACATTCGAACCTCTTTTTGAAACCCATGGTATCCTTTGCGGCTCAATGTATACCATAGGAAGATAGGGGCATGGCCATTCCGGCTCCCCGTGATTGTAGCATCCATTGAAACTAGATACTCGATATTCCTAGATAGAGCACTAATATGCTTTCTCCTTACTATTTGAACACCACATGGCATAGGGCATCCGACAAATTTGTGGCCTGATACGCTAACACTATCAATTGGCTTCTTAAATGTGACTTGGGGTGCCTGTTTATAGTAAACATCATCGTGAGAAAATGAAAATTTAAAATATACTCGTTTAAAATGTGCCTTTTTAAAATATTACTTTATTTTTTTTGTAATAATGAAAAAGTCTCTTATACCTCCCTTTATAAGAGAAATATTATGCATTTCTCTAATGATTTTTCCCTTCCTTATTCAAAAGAAAAAAAAAAGAAGACCTAATTAATTACATTTGTTATGCAAAATAATTTTCATCATAGTTTATGTAGTTTCTACAACACGGAAACATCTTTGTGGGACAATAGCAATGCAATGATAGATTTTTGATAATTAAAAAAAATTCTTAAATTATGCACATAGTAGTTGTTACTAACTTTATTCAAAAATGGCAACATAAGACCAAACAAGGCTCCATCACAGTGGATATAGAACCGATTGTGTGCGTAACCACACTCTTCCAGTGTATGTATCACAAGATCGAGATCATCAATTGCACCTTTTACAGTAGTTCCTACAATCAGATGTTAGAATGTATAGTCATTATTAGCAATGTAATTTCTTGTCCCATAATTAGCTATATATAAATTTGTACTTGCTAGTACGAACGAACAATGATTAAGAGTATGTATATGCAAAAAGAGAGTTACCTATGTTTACATTAAGGATTGCTGGTTTACTTTGGTTTTGGAGAAGCTTGATTTTTAAATTGAGACAATCAATCTCACCCGAGACTAAAGTCTCAATCTCAATGCACTCCATTCGATACATACGTGCAGCTTTAAAGACGGAGTAGTGTGAATCCTTAGAGGCGTACAAAATTCCATCAGAAAACACCTCTCTCCTAAAATGCCATTAATTAATCAAGAGCGTTAATTCACGGAGATATGTTACACGCTTGCCATCTCTTTTTTACAAACTTATTTTCACAAGTTGAACAGATTAGAGTGTTAATTGTCGAGTATCAAAGTATAAATAATTTAAATTTTTTTTTTTAAAAAAAAGAAAGATATGATAATATACATAGATGGTTCATGAACCTACGTGCGTGCATACCTACGTACCCTGTAAGTATGCCATGAAGGTTCCCTTCAGTCCCACCATTTGTAACATAACCCCAATATTCTTCCTTCTCGATCTCCCAAAGATGTGCAAACCAATCTAGAACACCAACCTCGAAGTCTCTCGAATGCACGCCATAATTGCTCTCAATAAATGGATCACCGAGGTTGTTTAAAGAAAAATGTTGCAATTCATCAAGAGCTCCATAATCAAAGTCCAAATTAAACGGATAGCCTTCGACAACAAGTATTATGTAGCAAAATTTTAAAACCACTATTGTACCAAATAAATAATAAATAGTATTTACAAATAATTCATGCATATACATATATCCTATATATAAAGTGAAAGGGGGTTTAGAGTGATAAATTTCACTTTTCCAAAATACCCCTCTTATGTTTACTTTTTTTTTTTTTGAATAAAAAAAACTACCATCCTTTAAAAAAAAAAGCTACCATCTTGGTTAATTAAGAAAAAAACAAAACAAAAAAAAAAAAAACTTTCTCTTTTCTTTTTAAAATTTTTTTGAGGGAAGTTAAATTTTATTATTTAGCCTACATGACATTATCAACATATTTTTTTTAATAACATATTTCTTTATAATATTCTATCAACAATTTTTAAATCCACTAATATTTTTAATTAGAATTAAGGAGATAATATTGTAGAAAAAACATAGAATCGAGCTTGATAGATTACTTATATTGCACACGCACGCAATAGTCTCTAAACTTGTACTTAATATAAAGTCAGAGTATAAGTTGATTACTCGAACAACTTATATTTATCAATCAAAATCAACAAGCTAAAAAAGCATCTATGAGCAATCACTACAATGTTCAATAATCATGATTCCGTAATTTACTTCTTTTCTTGGCTTATACATGCGTTCTTGTTTTTGTTTTTGTTTTTTTTTATTATTAATTTTTTTTTTTTAACATTCTTCATTTGGGTTTGTTTCTAATAATCTCTTCACACTCGAGTCACTTTCACTTAGTTTTATTTTTAACAAGCCTTTTTTACTTTTTCACCCTTCTTATAAAATTAAAATACTTTATGATTTTTATGTCTTGGTAGAATTTGGATCCATTTTAACTTATTCACTTTTACTTTATTTTTTTTATTTTTTTTACATGTACCACCTAATTTTTCCACTTTATCATCGTTAAACTATTTTTTTATTGCACTGATCTATTCACCACGATGGATATAGATTAAAACAATATAATAGAAATGTTGATCTAATCACCACGATATAGGGATATAGATTAAGACAATATAATAGAAATGCATGCTAACTAATTACTTAGTACTCATCCTAGGTTTGCGGGTCTTTGAAATTGGGGGGAAGGGAATCCCCACCTCAAAGTATCTTTAGTGAGGTTGTGAGATGCAAATCTTACCATTATATATTAATTTAATTGTTATTGGATTGGTCACAATGTTAACTTTTTAAATGAACAACAAATAATGAAAATCTAAATTAAAACACGTACTATTGTATTTTAAGACTGATAGTATTATATTTTAGAAACAAAGAAATAGATTATGGATGATCACCAAGATGGTGTTGAGTCCTCTCAATCCATCTCTTCTTGTATCTTGCTAAAACACCCGCCAAGTATGCCTCCTTTTCTCCGGTTACTTTGTCGTTAGCTTCGGGTTCCTTGATGCCGAGGCACGAGGCATGCATATTCTGGCCTAGAGTAATCTCTATTTCTTCATCTTCACTAGTTTTCGTCATCTTTTTCGCCGTACAATCATCGCCGTCGTTGCTCGTGTAAGCAACCGTAGGAACAACCTCTAGTTCCAATAGTGAAGTTGTTGCATAACTAGCCATTTTTCTATGTTGAAAAATTGGAAGAATATTCACCTTAAATGTAATAGTCAATAAATTAATTAAATCATGTACTATAGGACAATCCAATCATGGATAATACGTATAATATATATACATCAATCAAAATTTGTAAACAAAGCTACAGTTTAAACACAAAAATTAATAAATAATAATACTGTAAATATATTAACAATTTCATGTTGAAAAAACTGCATGGTTAAACATGACGTACCTTTGATCTAGACTTGTTAAGAGCCCCCTTATGGCAAAATCCATGAAAGAGGATGATGAGTATTTATAGGGATGTATAATGAACTGACATTATATTTAATTTAATTAGTTATTTTTCCTCCAATTTCTATTTTCTTAGTATATACTTTAATCGTTTTTTTTTTTTTTTTTTTTTTGAAAGAAGTATATACTTTAATCGTTCAGTACAATAGCACATTAGAAAATAACTAGTTTGGTTATGTTATTAGCCCATTCCCATTTAGTAGATCATGATAATATATGTACAAAATTAGTCATTTCTCATTTATTATTTGGAAAATTTCCTTAAAGTAACCCCAACTATATGCGTTGTGTGCAAAATAATATGACTTTAGCTATTTGCTATCAACAATACCATCTTTTATACTATATATTGTGCAAAATGATAAACCGACCACCGAAGAAGCTAGTTATCTTGAGGAATATTCCATCCATATTTATTATTATTATTATTTTCCAAATTACATATTATCTTAGTAATTTCCTTACTGTCCTCTTTTAGTTCTATGGTTGTTCAAGTTGGTGGAAACTAGTTATTTTGGTTGTTGAATGTGGATAAAATTTTGTTTATAAAGCTAATTATATCAATATAATAGTTGCATTAAATACCTTGTTTACAGAACTTAACTAAATAAAAAAAAATTATTGAGGTTAATAATTTTGATACGAACACATCAGTACATGCTTGATTTTGACCGGTGAATGTGAAGAAATTTTTAGGTCGTTTCAAAAACAATTTTTAAAATCAATTATACCAATATAATAATATCACTTAAATATTTACTTTTAGGAAAAATTCATGGCAATAATTCGACCTTTAACCCATTCTTTTTTAATAATCCGACCTTTCGATTATTATTTAGGGATTTGTTAAACATCGCCCACAAATTACTACATAAAGCCCACAAAATTCACTTGGTTTGACAAAATTGTCCTTGACCTTAAAAAAAACACTCACACTCTCATCACTCACACTCTCATTGCTCATCTTCTTTCAACCTCTCTTAAAAAAAAAAAAAAATTTCAAACAACGGCAATGTCGAGGCGGCAAGGCAAGGAATTGGCGGCGGCGGCGGAGGGAAGGATGTCCCAAGGAGGCAAGGTACAATTTGTAAAAAAAAAAAATAAAAATAAAGGGAAAAACTGCCGTGACGGCGGTGGGGCGCCCTGGCTGGACGCCCAGCAAGCGGTGGTGGCGCCAGCTGCAGACGCCGCCACCAGTTGGCTGGCGCCTGGGCTGGACGCCATAGCCACGGTTGTGGCGTTTATTCAAGGCGCCGCAGCCGTGGCTGTGGCGTCCAGCCCTGGCGCCAGCCCACTGGTGGCGGCGTCTGCAGCTGGCGCCACCACCGCTGGCTGGGCGTCCAGCCAAGGCGCCCCCCCCTTTTTATATTTGTTTTAAAATATTGTTTTTAATTTTTTTTTTTTTTTTGTGTAATATATTTTTGAATTGTTTTTATATTTTGTTGTTTATTTTTATAAATTTTTTCAATTTCGTTGTATTTTTTCTATGTTTATATTTTGTTTACAATTATTTGTATGTTTTTAGTTTATTTGATTTGGGAGTGGTAGCTATTTTTCGTATAAATTTTTGTATGTTTATATATTTTAAAATTTTGTATATAATTCACTGGGTCGTCATGGTGCGGGGAAGAATGTAGAGCTTCTTAGTAGAAGCTATTCAGTGGAGAGGTCGGGGCATATACATGTTAGATCCCGTGGTATTTCGGCCTCAGCTCGTAGAGAACGGATCCACCGTCGGGATGAGGATGACGATGACGATGATGATGCTGAGGAGGGTGACCAGGAGGAGGAGCAGGAGGAGGGCCCAGATGAGGATGAGGATGTGGACGATGGCAGTGGACCGTATGATGATTACAGTCCATTCAGTCAGAGGGTTGATGACATGTACGAGACACATATGGTGGAGGTGCGTAAGGGTAGGGGCGGTAGGTTTGTTAGTAGATCTGGCACATCATCTGCGTCCACTGTATCTGGGGCAAGCAGGAAACGGTCGAGGGCCAGTAATGATTCTTGGGTTGTTAGGAGTGAGGTGCCCGGTGGGCCTGTTGACGGGAGTGTGATTTCTAGCTTTCTAGGACACATAGCTGCCCGTATTTGGGAGGACCAGGAGAGGCCTTCAGTTACGGGGTTGTTGAAATGTCATACCCGGGAAAAGACTTGTAGCTTTTTGCGTACATGGGCTGAGGCTTGGCCGGCGGAGAGCGAGATGTTCGAGCGACTGGAGGGCACTGGGGTGAATCACGTTCCTGCCACCATGCACGATAAGATTGACAGTACGCTGATCACGGATTTCATTAAGCGATGGCAGCCGGATACAAACTCTTTCCACCTTCCGTTCGGTGAGATGACGATCATGTTACATGACGTCGAGGCCATTCTGGGGATTCGTGTTGAGGGTAAACGACTTTGTGCTGTGGCTGATGCGGATCAGGCAGATTTGCTGGCAGAGTTGTTGGCGGTGGACAGGGCTGCACTGTACACCGAGGCGCTAGGTGTTTGGGAACACGGAGGTGTGAAGATTGCATCCATGTTGCAGCGGTGTTTGTACCCCAGTGCACGTAGGATGCACGACGCACAGCTGAGTGCTTATGTTTTTCTACTCCTCGGATGTACCTTGTTTCCGGATAAGAGCGGCGGAAACAAGCTCAGGCCACGCGACATAGTGGAGGCGTGTGACCCCGACAGTGTAGGCCAGTTTTCCTGGGGATCGGCTACGTTGGCGTATTTGTATCGCCAACTAGGATTTGCGAGTCGGGCTGACGCGGCAGGTATCACTAGGTGTCTGACTCTATTGCAGACCTGGATATACGAGTACTTTCCTGCATTGCGACCACATCGTGACCCAGTTCCTATTGATGAGGGGATGTCGCGTGCTTGTGCGTGGAGTCCGCGCTCGGAGAAGAAGTCCGTTGACCGCCTCCGATCGATACGGTTGTTGCTGGACAGGCTGTCCCCCTTAGAGGTAACGTTTATAAATTGTTTCTACATTTTATTATTTGCACATATTATATTCATGTTATTAAATTTTAAAACTATGTGCAGGTGAACTGGATGCCTTTCGGCCCGAACCCTAGTGTTAGGGTACCCAGGACCCTGTACACGGGACTCATTCAGTATCGTGAGATCGTCGAGGCGTACATGCCCCAGCGTTGTCTTCGCCAGCTTGGATTTGTCCAAGTTTTCCCTCCTCCCCCGGCATGCCCGATGAAGGCGGTCCGACCTGCATCTTCGAGGGACTACGTCGTGCAATGGCCGGATATCATGACCAGGACGTGGGACCAGTTTCCGATGGTGGCCCGCTTATGGACTGCGGAGTTGCAGCGGCCGCCCTCTAGGGTTACTCCCATGTGTGACCATTACTACATGGAATGGTTCAACCGGTATTCGCACCCGAGGTTGATCGCAGATCTCGACCACAGCGATGATGATTATGTGCCACCGCCTACTGCCATGGAAGCGGTATGTCTTATATTATATTTATCGTTGTCTTTTAATTAAGTTTTATATGTTGTTATTGTATTTCATCTTCTGTTTTTTGTTGTATGCAGTGGATGGGAAAGATAATGCAGGACGTACAGAAACTCTCTCTTGAGAAGGACAGCATGAGTGCAACAGGGAGAGCTGTTGTTGATAGTCTGGAACAGACCCTTGCGCAGTGGGAGTCGTCGTCGAGGAGGGATTACTGATGGTTTTGTCATTTTATTTATAGAGCACTTTAAATATCATCGTTTTAATTTATTAAATTGGACATTATGTTGTAAGTTTGTAACATTTTAGATTGTTCTTTTAGCTTCCAACTTAATCATTGCTGTTTTTAAATTTTGATATAACCGTTTGTGGATCCGCGCAACTTACCCATACAACATATAGAATGCAGTAAGCAATACAATGTAAAAGATTAATGTTCTCATTAAAAGAGCAACGTACAAATAAGATTACAAATAAAGAATGTAAACATGAAAAACTAAAATGCAGCTAGGGTGTTCCATTCGTGGATCCGGTCATGATATAGCGCATCTCAACCCTCTACGCTCGCTGTGCGAATGTTGTACCACCGAGGTATAATCAGTGGCACTGGAAAATCGGATGACATGTCTAGTCGGATGAAATGTTTGTATGATGACCCAAGAAACGCAATAGCTAGCTCTCTGACCGGTGTGGTGATAGTCTCACGCGACCGCCAAGGGAGAACCGTGGTACAAGGATAATAAGCTTGACTATGCACTCCCAGGCCGAAATGCATGACTGCACATTTGTAAATGTTTGCAACGGCAAACAGATCTAGGGGCGCGTCAAAATAATGATTTTGGCCGCAAGGTCCACCTCCCCACCGGATACGCCGCAGAGCGCCATCCAAGTCATCCTGGTACACATGACGATAAACATTTCGGTTAGATGCAATTTCGCTGTACATCAACTGACGCACCAAACCGTAGTTGTCTTCGCCCATTTGAAAAACATCAGCCACGACCCGGAATCCGCAGTTACCATCTCCGACTACATCATTCCACCCTTCCAAGTACGGCATGATGATCGCAGGTATCCTTTCCTTGTACGGAAACTGATCAACATCGTTTCTTCCTATTCACCATATAATTATAGACAGTTAAGAAGGCAGGAGTAACACTTTAAAACTATGTGCAATGTAAACAACCAAAACGTACCAGTTCTCAGGGGCATATTCACAGACGATGAAGATTGACTACGACTAGATGACGATGTCCGACCACG